TCTCAGATCGACCCGGAAAAAAAATATTCTTATAGAATCTGGCCTGTAGAATCCATAATTTCAAACAGTTCCAAGATTGGGCTTCTAGTTCAAAAGTTACAGCCCTTTGAATTTTTTTTCGAAATTGGTTTCTAGTCTATAACTTTTGATTGAGAAGTCTGATCGAAAAAGTACGAACTGATTTGGATTCTACGCACCCAAATTAATAAGAAAAAGTGTTTTCCCGAGAAATTTTGGTGTAGTCGATTTTTGGTAAAAAAGGAAGGCTATACACTGCCTTTTTTTGAGCCCCGAAAAAAAAATTGTCTCAGATCGACCCGGAAAAAAATTTTCTTATAGAATGTGGCCTATAGAATCCATAATTTCAAACAGTTCCAAGATTGGGCTACTAGTTCAAAAGTTACAGCCCTTTGAATTTTTTTCGAAATTGGTTTCTAGTCTATAACTTTTGATTGAGAAGTCGGGTCGAAAAAGTACGAATTGATTTCGATTCTACGCACCCAAATTAATAGAAAAAGTGTTTTCCCGAGAAATTTTGGTGTAGTCGATTTTTGATAAAAAAGGAAGGTTATACACTGCCTTTTTTGAGCCCCGAAAAAAAAATTGTCTCAGATCGACCCGGAAAAATTAGAATTTTGCAAGAAAAGATTGTATCAGGAGAACGTTAGGAGGTATCACTCAGTTTATCGCATACCTACTTTCGAATTCTATCCCTTTGTACGTTATTGAATTCCTGTGATCCTGATACAAAGTATTTGAAATAAAAGATTTATATTTATTGAGATTTTGTTATCCCGATATTCGCTTCAGTAAGTCAAGAGAGGAATCACTGAATCTGTGACTTTTTGTTGCATTTGCTTGCTTTTATGCGCTCCTGATACAACTATTTAAATGGCTACGGTACTATGTTGTATCGCTACAACAGCTTACTTGTATCAGAAAGGCATGACCTAATAAATACAGTTTCAAAAAAAATTTCGTGTCAGGATAACATGATACTGAACAGGTCATGTACCCCCCCCCCCCAAGACTCCCCGGTGCTACAATGTCTGAGGTACTTCTTAGAAGAACAGAATCTGATCATTCTTTCCCAAAAACTGTGATGAGAGTGGGGAAGGTTGCACGTTATGTCTAAGAAATTGATACCGGGGGGTCTGGGGGGTATGGAATACCCCCCAGTATACGAGGACTTGACTATATTTCTCCAATGGTTACCGGGGGGCGGAAAAGGAAGTAAAGATAGAATCATCGAGTCCCTGTTTCTTCACCCTACCTCTTGGCTGGGGGGTATTCCATACCCCCCAGACCCCCCGGTGCCACAATGTCTCAGGTACGTCTTAGAAGAAGAGAATCTGATCATTCTTCCTCCAAAAATTGTCATGAGAATGGGGAAGGTTACACGTTTTGTGTAAGAAATTGTTACCGGGGGATCTGGGGGGTATGGAATACCCCCCAGCATACGAAGACTTGACTATATTTCTCCAATGGTTACCGGGGGCGGTGGGGAGGTAAAGATAGAATCATCGAGTCCCTGATTCTTCATCCTACCTCTTGGCTTGGGGGGTATAGAATGTGGCCTGTAGAAACCATAATTTCTTACACAAAACGTGTCACCTTCCCCATTTTCATGACAGTTTTTGGAGGAAGAATGATCAGATTCTCTTCTTCTAAGAAGTACCTGAGACATTGCGGCACCGAGGGGTCTGGGGGGTATAGAATACCCCCAGCCAAGAGGTAGGGTGAAGAAACAGGGACTCGATGATTCTATCTTTACTTCCCTTTCCGCCCCCGGTAACCATTGGAGAAATATAGTCAAGTCTGGGTCTGGGGGTATGGAATACCCCCCAGCATACGAAGACTTGACTATATTTCTCCAATGGTTACCGGGGGCGGAAAGGGAAGTGAGGATAGAATCATCGAGTCCCTGTTTCTTCACCCTACCTCTTGACTGGGGGGTATTCCAGACCCCCCGGTGCCGCAATGTCTCAGGTACTTCTTAGAAGAAGAGAATCTGATCATTCTTCCTCCAAACACTGTCATGAGAATGGGGAAGGTTACACGTTTTGTGTAAGAAATTGTTACTGGGGGGTATGGAATACCCCCCAGCATACGAAGACTTGACTATATTTCTCCAATGGTTAGCGGGGGCGGAAAGGGAAGTAAAGATAGAATCATCGAGTCCCTGTTTCTTCACCCTACCTCTTGGCTGGGGGGGTATTCCATACCCCCCAGGCCCCCCGGTGCCGCAATGTCTCAGGTACTTCTTAGAAGAAGAGAATCTGATCATTCTTCCTCCAAAAATTGTCATGAGAATGGGGAAGGTTACACGTTTTGTGTAAGAAATTGTTACCGGGGGGCCTGGGGGGTATGGAATACCCCCCAGCATACGAAGACTTGACTATATTTCTCCAATGGTTACCGGGGGCGGTGGGGAGGTAAAGATAGAATCATCGAGTCCCTGATTCTTCATCCTACCTCTTGGTTTGGGGGGGTATTCCATACCCCCCAGCCCCCCGGCTGCCACAATGTCTCAGGTACGTCTTAGACGAAGAGAATCTGTATCATTCTTCCTCCAAAATTGTCATGAGAATTGGGAAGGTTACCCGTTTTGTGAAGAAATTGTACGGGGGGATCTGGGGGGTATGGAATAACCCCCCAGCATACGAAGACTTGACTATATTTCTCCAATGATTACCGGGGCGGTGGGGAGGTAAGATAGAATCATCGACAGTCCCTGATTCTTCATCCTACCTCTTGGTTTTGGGGTGTATAGAATGTGGCCTGTAGAAACCATAATTTCAAACAGTTCCAAGATTGGGCTACTAGTTCAAAAGTTACAGCCCTTTGAATTTTTTTTCGAAATTGGTTTCTAGTCTATAACTTTTGATTGAGAACTCTGATCGAAAAAGTACGAATTGATTTGGATTCTACGCACCCAAATTAATAAGAAAAAGTGTTTTCCCGAGAAATTTTGGTGTAGTCGAATTTTGGTAAAAAAAAGGAAGGTTATACTGGAAATGGATAATTTTTTGTCTCCCCTCCCTCTCCTACAAGCGAGCGAGTATTTTCAAATGTTGATTTTACTATCCCCCCAAAACCACACTACGCCTATATTACTTTTTTGGCAATTATAGTGTCTGGATTTTTAATATTAACAAAAATACAAAAAAATCAAAAATTTAAAAAAAAATGGAAAATGGTATACATACTCAAAAGGTTCCAAAAATCTATAAACATTTCAAAACATACTATGTGTCCAAAGAAAAAAAATGAAAAAGCAATAGCAACATTAAAAATGAAGTTGTACACAAACATTCAAATTTAAAAAAAATATATAATAACGATCAAAACAATTAGAAGAACTCGAAAATCCATGAAACGTTTCGGAAACAGTTCCCAATACATTAAATAATTCGAAAAATTGAAAATTTTTTTTAAAATAAGAAAAATCAAAAAATCACACTGACACAAAAGTTGTTTTCCCATATGAAATTGGCAATAAATAAAAATTTAAATAATGTAAAAAATTCAGAAAACTACCCCAAAATGAAATTCACACATTTTTAAAAAATTTAAAAAACGGATTTTGTTTAATTTTTTGGTTTTTGATTCTTTTTGATATGAAATTTACAATTTTTTTTAATTTTTACACTTGCGGGAACTGCCCATTTTAAATTATCCGTAATTTTTTTTTAATAGTCCTGTTCCTTTCTAAATTGTAATTTCTGTTTGATACTCCTAATTTTCCTTGGGTAAAACTTTTGTTTTGTGCACTTTTGTGGAATCTTCGCAGCTATTCTGAATTTTTTTGATTTTTGTTTTTTTAAATGGGTTGCTGAAGGCGGTTGGATTTTTTAGTGACACATTAATCTATATGACAGTTTCAGTTTTTCTATGACACATTTAGTCTATAAAATTTAGATAGCTGCAACAATTGTATTACATTTGGGAAGCTCGGTCTTCGGATAAAGGAGGGACGAATTTAATTTTGGATACCCTCCAATTAAAGATTCATTGCTTGTCCTCGTCAAACTTTTGAATGCAACGAGCCTTGCTGCAATGCGTCAATTCTTTTCTTGAAAGCGTCAAACATTTAAATTGCTTACCTCATGTAATCCTGCAGATTAAGGGATTCCCACGACATTTTAATCGAAAACACAAAAGGCGTCACATCATCCCTTACATTCCTTTTGAGTCTCCGATAAATTCATTTTAAAACAACCGATCACTCTCATTATAAGAAGGTGGTTAACGAAAAACGCTTGAGAAACACGTTACTACCGCACTTATTCGCCATCATCTTCCTTTTCGCTATACGACGCGTTTAATTAAAATGAAATGTTTAGGTTGACGTAACGAAAACGCCATAATTGAACCAAAATTGCTATGTACAAAAATTGTTTAAAAAAAGCGAACAAAATCCGACACCCGCAAACACCACCCCAACATTTCGCAGCAGCATCCCTTCGGTCCAGGATAACAGCGCACCTTCGGCGCGACTCGCCGCCGCTCGAGCCTCATCGAAAATCGAAGCACTTGGGGACGTTCGCTACATTTTCATTTTTATCGGGGCGCAAATGTGGGGAAACGGAACGCGCGCGTCTTCCTTAATAAAATTTTTCGACGACGCGCTCTTTTATGTCCCGCGGGCCTCGGAGAAGATTATTAGCGCGCCCTCCGCGAGACGAGGGATGAAAATGTAGGTCACTGGGGATGGGGTTTAATTGTACGCGACTAGGACGAAAATAGAAGCGTCGCCCGCAAGTTAAATAAAAACATCAAAATGCGACGTGTGGGCGAATTTTTTTCCGGGGTATTAATGAGAGTTTTTAAAGTTTCGACTTTGTTTTATGGGATATTTTATAGCGTGTCAAACTGTCGCAATCTCGTTCCAAGTCGTGTAAAAACAAGGGGGCGTGGTTAATCGGAATTCGCGGAGGCGATTGGTCGATTCGCGATCGCGGGGCGTGGTTACTTAAATCGCGCGACAAGGTGGAAATATTTTTAACAAATTTGTTCGCGTTAATTAATCATAAATAAACGTTGGGTTACGTTTGATGTTAAGGACGTCGAAATATTTACGTCAAATTATCGTGGGGACACGGAAAAAAAATAATATAAAAAATCCGAGCGAGACGGAGATAGATGTGTCCGAGCCGTTTTCAGAAGTCGCAAGTTTTCAGCTTTCAGTTTAACAAGAAAACGCGTGCAAGACAGTGCAGTGTCTCAATAGTTGGATGTTTACGGATCGGTCGCGGAACTATTAAAGCCCTTTTGGAACTGCCGGCCGTCTACAGCGGTGAGTATAGATACTTCGATTTCATATATGCGCTACACAAAAAATTAAAAAAAAAACATTTTGGTCACCATTTTTCATTTAATCGATTTTATCTAGATCGATCTAGAATAGGTTTGCATACAGGGTGTTGAGATTTGAGTTGTGCAAAAATTTTATTGAACAAATCTGTAGTTTGGACTAACGACTAAGTAGGTACTAGGCATAGTCTTTGCTATATTTTTTGGTTTAGTTCTACCATTGTACCTACCCCCCAATATAATCAAAGTATAGCGTAATTTTCCTCGCTTCAGCCAGTTGTCCAGACCTCCAGAAAACTTTGATGTTAAGTGATTATCTGTAGAAAGAATGTAGCTTGGTTTATCGGTTAACTATATTCTTATGGCAAACGACCAAAGAGTTATTAAAGATCATATGAGAAATACCCTGAAAAATGGCTGGAAAATCTCTGATAACTCCTGAAAAATCACACCAGAATTTCTAAAAAACTTCCAAACATTTTTGAAGGTCTTCTAAGGACCTTTTTCACATTTTCATTTTAGGTAACATCGTGTGAATGTAAAGCTAACAGAGAAATAAACGTGCGGGCCACAATTAAGAATTCTAAGCTCACTACTATTATCACAATCTGGGCTACCTTTGGTTACCTTGGTACCTTGATGCCTTGCTTAGAGAAAATTGGGTTAGGTTGTGCTTTCGGACCGCTTGGCAAATACATATTTTAGCGCGCTGCTTGACCCTTTGCTTAGGGGAACTTGGGTTGGATTGTGCCGAGCTTGCCTTCGACAACCACATCTTTTGGCGTGAAAATGTTCAAATTTAATAAGTAAGGCCAGCCCAATCATTTCTGGGCGAGCCCAAGGCGAGTTCGGCACATTCTCGACTACCCCTGCGCGTTGACGCTTTGTCTAGGGGAAATTGGGTTGGATTGTACCGAACTTGCCTTCGACAACCACATCTTTTGGCGTGAAAATGTTCAAATTTAATAAGTAAGGCCAGCCCAATCATTTCTGGGCGAGCCCAAGGCGAGTTCGGCACATTCTCGACTCCCCCTGCGCCTTGACGCTTTGTCTAGGGGAAATTGGGTTGGATTGTGCCGAACTTGCCTTCGACAACCACATCTTTTGGCGTGAAAATGTTCAAATTTAATAAGTAAGGCCCGCCCAACCATTTCTGGGCGAGCCCAAGGCGAGTTCGGCACATTCACGACTACCCCTGCGCCTTGACGCTTTGCCTAGGGGAAATTGGGTTGGATTGTACCGAACTTGCCTTCAGCAACCGCATCTTTTAGCGTGAAAATGTTCAAATTTAATAAGTAAGGCCCGCCCAACCATTTCTGGGCGAGCCCAAGGCGAGTTCGGCACATTCTCGACTACCCCTGCGCCTTGACGCTTTGTCTAGGGGAAATTGGGTTGGATTGTGCCGAACTTGCCTTCGACAACCACATCTTTTGGCGTGAAAATGTTCAAATTTAATAAGTAAGGCCCGCCCAATCATTTCTGGGCGAGCCCAAGGCGAGTTCGGCACATTCTCGACTACCCCTGCGCCTTGACGCTTTGTCTAGGGGAAATTGGGTTGGATTGTGCCGAACTTGCCTTCGACAACCACATCTTTTGGCGTGAAAATGTTCAAATTTAATAGGTAAGGCCAGCCCAATCATTTCTGGGCGAGCCCAAGGCGAGTTCGGCACATTCTCGACTACCCCTGCGCCTTGACGCTTTGTCTAGGGGAAATTGGGTTGGATTGTACCGAACTTGCCTTCGACAACCACATCTTTTGGCGTGAAAATGTTCAAATTTAATAAGTAAGGCCAGCCCAATCATTTCTGGGCGAGCCCAAGGCGAGTTCGGCACATTCTCGACTACCCCTGCGCCTTGACGCCGCGCCCTTGTACCTTGGGCTTTTGCCGCTTTACTTACAAGAAATTGGGTTTTGCCGAATACGCACAAATACGACAAAAATTAATTCTAAGATCGCCTAATTGAAATTCCGCAACGACTAATTTTAAGAGCGCTTGATTAATGCTGGCACGGAAAATTAGATGCGCCTAATTAAATTAATGCACCAAAGAAATTCCAATTTCGCAGCAACATGCAGAAAAATATTATTATAACAGGGACTTTAGCGTCATCAAGGAATTAATTAGTACCGTCAGCAATAGGTATCAATCTCTTAAAAGTATTTTATAAAGAACTGTATAATTACTACTTGATTGCTAAAAGTAAATTAATCCTTTACATTTTCCTTAATTTGATAAAAATTAATTCCACAGAGGCCAATTATTTTTGCTTCAGCAAATTTTAATTTTGATAGATCAGAATCAATACGTTACCTGAATTATATCTTCAAATCAATTTGATTTGCTTATGATGCAAACGTTATAGGTTACAATTTAAACAGTATACCTACATAGTTCCGTGTAATCGTCCTAACTGAGAGGCGGCAAAAAGAGGAGCATATAGAAACGCTCATAATAGGCTTATTGCAATGAAAGGGGTTAACCATCCCTGCATTGAAGCAAAAATAAACGGAAATAGTAAATGAACCTGGAATAATAAATGACTTACAGCTATCCCTTTAACACACATTCTTGTGATAAATGGACAGATTTTAACGGTCTTCTCACGAGTCAGAGGACGATCTCATGCTTAACTCGCAGTTGCAATCAAACTGCCGTAGTTAAGATTCCTGAATATCATAGAAAACCCCGACATCTAGTCGCCAGACATTCGGAAACAGTGCTCTATAGAAATTAAACGGCGCAGAATGGAAAATCTTCCATTCCACCGAATGCTCGCCTGGAAAATCGGCACTCTCAATTTCGACACCCGGTAGAACTCCTATGAAATGACTAAACCGCCCTACCATAATCGTTAGGGTTAGTTCGGCATATGGTAACTGTTAAGCGGTGGCAATAAAACTTTTTCTCTTTCAGTTTCAGGTCGGTCGTCTTCCGATGGTAACACGATGAATGTAAATTTCGAGCCGGTGGCTAATTACGTGTCAAGGACCAGCTCGTACGGCGCAAAATTACGCGAGAAATCCCTCTACGCCGGCGTCGCGCCGTTCTTTTCCGGCGGCGAGCACCGGTTGAAGAACGCGCAGACGGACTACAACGCCAACTTCTTCAAGTGCTTCGAGTCGACGAAGAAGCGACCCGGCGAAAAGTCGAAGACGGCGAAGCGCGGCGGCGATGAGTACGACAGCGCCGACAGTTCCGTCGATAGCGACGATGAGAAGGAGCTGAATCACATTTTCGAGCCGCAGAGCGGCAACTGCGGCCCGCGGAAGTGTCTGACGTGGGCGTGCAAGGCGTGCAAGAAGAAGACGGTCACGATCGACAGGAGAAAAGCGGCGACGCTGCGCGAAAGGCGTCGGTTGCGTAAGGTTGGTAGGGGAGTTTGATTTGGGTCCGTAAAGTTAGCAGGGATGATGCGTCATACGCAACATTGTTAAGAAGGGGGTCGTGTAACGTGGTGACGCAAAAAATCCGGCGCAATATGGTCTGTACAGGCACGAATTTTGGGCAGGCAAAAAATTGTTAAGATTACAGTCTATCAACTTCACCTGAGAAGTATTGCGGAGAATGCGGTACCGGGGGACCTGGGGGGGTATGGAATACCCCCCAGAACACACGATAGTGTTAAAAGGGTTGGCGAGTCTTTCTCTGCTGGGTGGCTCTTTATCCCCCGTGGCTTTTAATCTAATTTTTCGACGATCATCATCCAGTTTTAGTTTGCTGAGGGGGTATTTCCCCCCCCCCCGACCCCCCTGTAACAATGTCTTCCACAAAAATGTTTAGCCTTGAGGAGTCTCAGGATTTACTTTGTGATAAAGTCACCATATCAACTTCACCTAAGAAGTATTGCGGAAAATGTGGTACCGGGGGGCCTGGGGGGTATGGAATACCCCCCAGAACACACGTTAGTGTTAAAAGGGTTGGTGAGTCTTTCTCTGCTGGGTGGCTCTTTATCCCTCGTGGCTTTTAATCTAATTTTTCGACAATCATCATCCAGTTTTAGTTTTCTGGGGGGTATTCCATACCCCCCCGGTAACAATGTCTTCCACAAAAATGTTTAGCCTTGAGGAATCTCATGATTTACTTTATCATAAAGTCACCATATCAACTTCATCTAAGAAGTATTGGGGAAAATGTGGTACCGGGGGGCCTGGGGGGTATGGAATATCACATTATCACAAAGTAAATCATGAGACTCCTCAAGATTAAACATTTTTGTGGAAGACATTGTTACCAGGGGGTCTGGGGGGGGGGGGGGCTATGGAATACCTCCCAGCAAACTAAAACTGGATGATGATTGCTGAAAAATTAGATTACAAGTCACGAGGGTTAAAGAGCCACCCAGCAGAGAAAGACTCGCCAACCCTTTTAACACTAACGTGTGTTCTGGGGGGTATTCTATACCCCCCAGGCCCCCCGGTACCACATTTTCCGCAATACTTCTTAGGTGAAGTTGATATGGTGACATTATCACAAAGTAAATCATGAGACTCCTCAAGGCTAAACATTTTTGTGGAAGACATTGTTACCGGGGGGGGGGGGGGG